TCTAGACTCGCCCTTCTTAAACAGCGTTTTATAGCTGCATTTACTTCATTTGAAATGAAGGGCAGTATAAACGAAACCTTGTTGTAGCTAGAGTTATCGTCGGGGTACCTGTGGTTTCCTCTACACCTGTCTCGAGCTACAGTTTCGTAGCCATTAAAAATGACTATTTGTCGCACCAAGTTCAGGGACTCCTCTCTCTGCTGTCTTCCTGTGCACACGCTGGTAGCTGTTCGATACATGTTTCTTACAAGCGCCCTTCTCGTGTGATAGGGGTGAGAGGAGAGGTAATGAACCAGGATGTTTTTACTACTTGGCTTTCGATACCACTTCGTAATGTAGCCGTTTTCTGATAGGCTAATTTGCACGTTCAGAAATGGAAACCAGTCTTCTTTTGGTTTCTATCGGGTGAATTTAATATACTCTGTGTGTTCAACAACTCGAAACATCTGTCGATTTCTTCTTGCGTTGAACAAATGACCAAGCAGTCATCTATATATCTACAGTAGAGTAACGGACCGAGGTCGATTATTGGCGCTTCCACCTTAGACATGAATGCAATGGTAAGGCTTGGTGCCAGTCGTTGTCCCATTGCCAGCCCTCTCATTTGTGCGTAATACCTCCCGGACCATCTGAAGATTGAGCAGTTTAGGCACTCCTTTAAGAGTGTCATCAACTGCTGAATCGAGAAGCCGTACATGTTTGTTGCTCCTTCGTGTTGTATAAGGAGCTCGTTTATGGCTTGCATAGCGGAGTCATTCGACACGTTCGTATAGAGGGCAGTGACGTCGAAGGACTCCACCACGTACGCGCTGTTGGGTCGCGCGTTACGTAGACGATCCAGGAACATTTGGGTGTTCGTTAGATGAGCTGGAATGTACTTCAACAACTGAGTAAGTATTAGGGTTATTAACCACGTTATTCTATCCGTTGGCCGTCCACACAGCTAATGATAGGTCTAACCTTAAATAACGATGGATCGGTGGACACGAGATCATCGCTGGATACTAACTTTTTTTGATAAGTACAGGACGGGACACGTTGGTAAGTTAATTTTGAGATGAGAGATAACTGATGGTTTTAACCCAGCCGCTTTTGCCACTTTAACCCATTCGTTGTTTAACTTTCGGTATTGACTTTTAAATTCCTTCTCAGACGGCGGTCGATAAAGGGAAGCATCTTTAAGGTGCTTTTCCGTTATCTCAACATCTAACTGATGAGGAATTACAACGAACTCTCCACCCTTATCACTAACCGATAGTCTTATGTTTTTTGATCTTATCAGCTCTCGTACCTCCCGCATACCCCGTTCTTGTATTTCAGTGAGGTTGGAGCAGTATCTTTTAGCGCGATGGTGATTAAGGACTTTGAAAGTTTCATTCGTAAACATCCGACATTTAACATCAACTTCATTATTGGGCTCTTGTTGTCTAAAGAACGGTTGAGGAAATGGTGGTACTGGTATTGCCCTTACTTTTTGTTGTTCGCGTCTATTTTGCGCTTCATCCCTAGCTTTTTTGCGGAGTCTATCTTGAAGTTCATGTAAACCACATGCGACCCTACGCAAGGTTATCTTAGAAACGGGTTCAGATGGTGAGAAACTCGGCCCCAATTCTAATAACGAGCGCGCACCGTCAGAGACGGTTATGCCTCCTAGTACGCTCAACCTTGAATTTCTTTGCACATTATTTATCCTGCTGTGAATCGTTTGATCTTCGTTGGCGGTGTTTCTGTATGCTCTTGAAGCCGTGTTATGCGATTTACTCAAAAGGTCTTCGAATTTTCTCCGCAAAGTTACTTTAGCATTAGACCTAATAGAGTTGCAAATCAACACTGACCCACACACTATTCTCCTCCAGAGGCGGTCCTCCAAATACTGAGCACAATAGTTTTCTTTCTTCTCGCATTTCTTCCACTTGACGAACATCTGGTTTTGTTTGCTTCGCAGACAGGTGCGCAGTACTTGCAAATGCGATGTCCAGTGCTCGGTGGTCGTCCTCTGGCAGTCCGCATACTTCGTGCAGTCGTTTTTTTCTATGAATGTTGGAACGACTTGGTGTTTTATGCAGCGGCGGAGAAAGTGTATTGACTATCGAGCTAAGACGATCTTTTGTCTTAGTGAGAGTGCTTCTTTTCTTTTTTCTTTCCTTTCTTCTTCTATTCTCTACGATTTGCAAAACCGTTTTTTCAAAAAAGTTCATTGACTGGTAATTTGATTAACAACTGATTGTTCTTCCATTTTAATCGTTTTGGTTATCAATGTTTAACGTTTCGTTTTCTGCCTTCTATAATTTTCATGGCAGGTTACTAAGCGAAATACAACCACAACGTTGCTGAGGTATTCGCAAAACTCTGGACCGCAGGTGTCCATGGTGGGGAACGAACGCGCTATTGTCCTTTCCGGGGAGTAACGCGTTCACCACCACACCATGCGGGTCCTTCGTTTCGCTTGTCTCAGTGATTGCTGTGGCAAAAAGATCAATAGAAATAGCTGAGAGACAGGCGAAACGTTGGTGGTGAACGCGTTACTCCCGGGAAAGGACAATAGCGCGTTCGTTCCCCACCATAGACACCTGCGGTCCAGAGTTTTGCAAATATCTCAGCAACGTTGTGGTTGTGATTATCATTTGAAATCTGTGAATATAGAAAACACCAAAGTAGACCTAACATATGGTGCAAAATACCTCAAACGCCGACAGCAATTTATTTGCATAATGGACCATGGACAGAATAAATAGTAAACACAATTCATTCATACCAACAGAGCGATACAGCAAGGTCTCCTCGACAGTATTCACTACCACTACCGCACTGTAGGTATTGAGCAATTGTTTTTAATGTCAAAAGCCAGAAAGTCCGCAGCCGACGAAAAATTGCTCGTATTCGGGTAGACCAACCACGAAATATGGTAGCGAGGCGTTGTGGATTAACGAATGACGCTATGGGCCTCAGTTACAGCTCTAACTTCGTTAGCTCAGTCGTTTTCCTCTCATTTTTACTCGTGGTCTGTGATGAGCTATCACGACGCGTCACCCGATTTATCAAACTTTCCACCGCTATAGGCAACCCTACTGAATGCGCAGCAATGCGTGAATGCAAAGATAGAGAGCAGAAGGAAGGATCCGTGAAACTGGTGTGGCAAATAGAAATTTCGAGCGGCTACGAAACTATAGCTTCTCGGCATAGGCATAGAGGAAAAACCACTTACCTCAACGATAATTCTAGCTATAATAAGGCTCCGTTCATCTTTCCCTTTATCTCGAACGGAATAACTGCAGCTGTAAAACGTTGTTTAATAAGGGCCGGTTTAGGGAATTCCGTAAGAGTGTTAGAAATAGCATCGGTCATTCAAAGACGCCAGCTGACTCATCGATTGTATAACCATCTGTGTACAAATAAAAATTGCACAATACGCTCTAACGGTGAAGATAGCGATTGCATGAGTCCGGTTACGGTGTACCCAATTTCTAGTAAAGCGTACGAAAACTAATACGTCTGCAAAACGGGTGGACTGCTCTGCGCCTGCTTAAAGAAACACCTGGCAGGTTAATTTAATTGAAACCAAACACTCCACTAGGTGCGCATGTGAAGCGGAGGCACAACGGGGATGATTTTGAAACAGAAGTCACTATCTTCACGCACGAATCGAAAACACCAGAGCGAAAAGCTCTGAAAGCGTTTTGGATAGATTCCAAAAATCCAAAAATAAACCGCAAGGACTGTCTTGTGATCAGACGCGACCTCGCATCATGCCTCAGGTTGGTTCTATCACCTAACTCGAGCAAATTCATCGCCTATGTCGTGCTCCGTGTGGCTCCTTTCCACCAATTAATAGGAATACCTGCCAAGAGTACAACGGTGGGTTTTTCAAAAAAGCTGTTTATTATGCGGATAAAAATTTATATGTTAAATCTTATTTGCTGCGGTTATGAAAGTGTTTGGCTGAGTAGATTGCATGCCAATTTGACCCTTCCAGGCTCTAAAGAATGCGAAATCACAGAAACGTCAGCTATTGTGTACTGATAGATTCTATAATATCAACCTCGTATTTGCCTGTCGAAGAAAAGCAGTTAATTATCAATCAATGGCGAGGTTAATTGAAAGTAGGTCTTGGGATTAGGAAGATGATTGTTTCGTTGTCCTATCAGGTAATTAAACTACATCATTCTACCAAAACTCTTCGCCGTGTTCAAATGTGCAGTTTCCTATGGAGAGTTTCATAATGGATCCGAGCACTTCAGTATAGGTCGAGAATTCGGTTTTATTCAAATTTAATTTAATCATGTTTTTAGGCTCCTCTTGGTAAGGTGTCGTTGTTGACCACACACATGAGGAGCACGACTCATCCAACATTTTACAATACGAGGCCAATATGAAATCGTTTCTGAGCTTACAAAGTTTCGTAGAAGCAGTTAATGAGAAGTAGCAACACCTCTTTTTCGAAGCTATGCGTATCTCCTCCTGAACAGTACTTCAGTGACGTTACTATACCAAAGTAATTGCTTTATTACCAAATAGCACGTCGAAATTGCAGGCCACATCTCTCCACTGCGCTCTGCAGCTCAGTTCAGCAACGCACACATGCATGGCAATTTCTAGTGTAGCTTTCATTAGTTGTTGTCGACGAATAATGGTGATTTGCATTCACCACGACATTGCATAACAAAGGGATGTAGCTCAACGAGGAAGTACTGTTCGGGAAGGGCTACGCACAGCTTCATTTCACCTGAGTTTCAGGGACACCTTTAACGATTGAGCTCCCAGCCACACTACAGTACAACGCCAACTGGCTCGGGGCATTCTGTATCGAGAATGCTGGCATTACGCTTTCGCACTATTGTACTTGAGAGATTAATTCAACATAAAATACACCATTGAACTAGTGAAGAGGACTGGATTTGTCTCTGTAAGCAAGCAGAACAAAAACTTTATTTTAAATTGAATTGTATTTCGTTGTTGAAACGCTCTATGGAATTACAGCTTTTTAGAACGGATTCGCAGCCCTACTCTATCGACATTTGTATGAGTTCATGTGCGTTGCTGATTAACTCTTGTAGAGACGCCTTCATAAGGCTGCCATCTCGAACCGACACAGAAAGTAAAAGATTCTTCAGTTCCTCCATTAATTGTGGGATATCCTCTTCTTTAGCAATAGGTAACTGAAAAACGAATAGAAAGTTTGTTACACAGCTGTCTATTATTATTTTTGTGTTACACCAACTTTCCATTTTAGCTTTCCGGGATCTGATGACGACTGTTGAAGCAAGCGTGCTTTTGGAAAAGCTTGACTAATCGCCTCAGTCGCCTGAAAGCAATCATGAGGGCGACAGCAGATGTGCGTTGGACCCTGGAAAAATGGAAGAAAAACCTTTCGCTTGTCGGATTTCGTCAACGGGTACAACTCGATCACCACAAACATTCCGTACCTGAAGTTGATCAGAATAAAGTTTTAAAAGGCATTCGGCTGCGTGACATCACATTAATATTGGTTAAGAGAATGTTTCCTTGCTGGTGGATTCATCCAGTCACTTTAAAGCAACTTAGTGGAAGTCGATGGCTATGTTTAAATTGCCTAGATCTAAACTAACATCTCGTTTAACGACGGTTCTCTGCAGTATTGCTGTATAAAATAAATAAAAAATATAACGTATAAAAGACACTTTACATCTTTTAGGAATAACACTAGCGTCGTTTTCTTGTTCAGCAATGGCGAGGTTTTTAAACAGCATACATTTACTTCCATAGAAAAACACAATACAATACAACGCTGGCTGACGTTTCGGCAGTATTGTCTTCTTCAGAGCCGCTTTTTCGTGACTTCCAATGAGGAAGTTTAGAACAGCTGATTATAGTCGCACATGGTTGATGACCGTATTGATGGAAGTCACGAAAAAGCGGCTCTGAAGAAGGCGATACTGCCGAAACGTCTGCCAGCGTTGTATTGTATTGTGTTTTTCTATGGAAGTAAATGTATGCTGTTTAAAAACCTTGCGATTGCTGAACAAGAAAGCGACGCATTCATATTCCAATGCCGGGGTTAAAAAAAAGTCGATCCTGGGAACAACAACACTAGCTTAACTCTTTTATTTACTGCCTTTTTCTTCTTAATGGTAAGGTATGTTTCGAATTATAACTCGTATGAAATGCTGAGATATTTGCAAAACTCCGGACCACAGGTGTATGCAGTGGGGAACGAACACGCAACACGGGAACGAACTCCCCGGTAAGGACAACAGCGCGTGTTCGTTCCCCACTGCATACACCTGTGGTCCGGAGTTTTGCAAATATCTCAGCATTTCATACGAGTTATAATAACACTTGCATTGAAACCATAACGCAGTAAGAAGAAATTCACCTAGCAACATTTCCTTTGGGTGTGTTTTAGATGACAATCTGTGGATGCCTTTCAGAGCTACTGGTTACACTTATATGATGACGAGCTATATATCTAATATATTTTGTCATGATATGCCAAACCTCACTCTTCGGTATGGAATTGTGTCTTATTAAACGAAACACTAAAAAACGTTCTCTGCATGTGATTTTCTCGGAATAGATCGAAAATAGGAAAATGACATTGGCTCACTTTGCCCTTAACTCTGAGACTGTGCCGATCGTTAGGAGTTCTGCGCCATCGGATATGATGCCAATGCGATTACAAAGGGTTTCGCATTCCTCGACCGAATCGGTGACGATCACCACGGCCCGCCCACTTTTCCGAGCCTCTTTGATTGCCTCCCAGATAAAAATACGAGTCTAAAAGCGTACTTAACCATATCAAATGTATTTGTCGTATCTGAGTTAGACACTCGCTACCTTGTAGTCCACCATTTCAGTAGGCTGATCGAAAACCAACACTTTTGAACGCGATAATAAAGCAGCTGTCACACATGCTCGTCTTCTTTCCATTGGACTATAATGGAATTTTAAGTCATTCCTTCTCCTTGTATTCTCGAAACTCCGTCTGTGGAAGTTTTGGTCTTCATAGCATTTATATTGCGGCTTTGTTCGATGTGACACGAAAATCAATACTTACACTTAACACTGGGCCATCCATGACATTAGCTCTTTTTCTGGCTTAAAAACTTAATGAAAGTATTAGCACTGAATTAAGATAAAGGTGTAATATCCACTGCTTCAGCATTTCTTAGCAGTAAACAACGTTCGATTCATATTGATTACGACTACGTAGGCTTAAGCAGAAATCTACCTGTGGAGTCCGAATTCTCGATGAGGCTCTCGAATGTTTCTCATTGCAACCTGGATGAAGTTGTCCTTGTCGATAGCGGAAGACCGACCTGAAATTGAAGCGGCATTCTCATGTTCACTGTTTCTGCCCTACGTGAACCAATATGGTTCTTTCCAATGTGTTGCCTCATTATGCGAAATATAGCTATAACGATGCTGAGATATTTGCAAAACTCAAACCCCAGGCCAATTTTGATTTCTGATTGTACGATTAAGGAAGAAACCGACAGAGAAAGGCCGAGCAAAGGCCTCAACGGTGCAGCAGTTAAGACGTCAGTCTCCGGAAAGAGTAGTGTCGGGTTCGAATTTGGCCTGGGGTGCAAGTTTCGGAGATATCTCACCATAATTTTGGTGGTATTTCACATAGCATCCTGCCATGAAAAAATAATTGGTAGTAGATAAAAAGTTATGCATTGTTGCGTCGTTGTTTTGCGATGCAATGCATCTATGGGACAGCAATGTAGAGAAAACATGGTAATGAGGTGTCCGCACGGAATACTGTCAACCCCTAACTGACACCCGCTGTATTTGGCAGTTCGACTGCTCTTGCTGCATTCCCGCTTGACGATAAAGTATTGCTGGCCGCAGAAATGTTTAGAAAATTCCTCTGTTCTCACTGGAATTGAACAGATGTACTCATTATTTCACAGTCACAGCCTTTCGCAGCAGTAGCTGTTCATAAACGCAAGAAATCGCTCACAGAGATTAGAATTATGAGGAACATCAGCAAATGAACGATTTGAAGTTAAGTTCATGACGACTTTCTTTGCTACGAACGATCCCGATTGAACCAGGCTGGAAAGACTCGTGTGCAACTAACCAGCTATGGTAGCTACGATTTCGAGATTTCTTCGTGGGCTTAGCAGCGGATGTAATGAATCATGACGAGGACAGAAACCGATCTCCTTAATGACATTTGTGACTGGCACCGTGTTGATATTCTCCAAAAAGATAGAAACCCTACGACTTTTGCTCGGAATCAAAATTGATGTTTTCCACACCACAAACAATCCTTGTTCTTTTGAAAACTTTTTTGCTGTTAAACAAACCTTTACTGAAAATTGAGTGTCGATGTGAGACAACGGACAAAGATAATTCGACAAAATTCTCATAATTATAGATCGGGTATTGCGCTTTTCTCCGAAAATTCCGACGATTTCGCCTGGATGTAGAACAAGCGGCACGCCCCGGAGTACCTGGAAGCTTTCGATTCAATGAACCAGGAGAGATCACATAATATTTTAGAATTCATTAAGGTCTGCATTTGCAGATCGAGTGCTAAGACAATGATCAAGCAACAGATAACCAAACGATATGCATTACTCGGCATAAAGAATGTAAAGACCATCAGAGATCATTGAGTGGTACAGCATGATTGTACTCGTTGTAGAGAGAATTGAAATGCAACACGACAAAGAATAGACCGCGTTCTGCCCGCAAAGTCACGAGTGGTCTTCGATTGAATTTCAGGAAGAACACTGACTCGTTGTGTGGAAATTTCTGTGAAGATGCTGAACATAGAAGACGACATTGCTCTTGCTCCTCCAGTGTCGTGCGACACCGGCCCATGATATTTGAATATGCGAGCATTGCTTCTCTTCATTCCTATACTTCAATACTCTACAGTAAAATAAGTCATATAGGCGGTGTCATGATGTTGGTTTTATTTCGTATAGCATTCGGCACTGTGGATAATTGCTTAAACTGCTTGTCTTCATAAATATTCGTACCAATCGCAAGAAGTCTCCAATGAACAAGTACGTTGATAGTTTGGGAAGATTTCTCCGAGAAGCATTTCTCAGGTCGTTTCTAGGTCGTCACCATAGACTGTTGTTGGCGTTTGTGGACCGAAGAGACCATTGCTACCAGCGAAACGTTGTCCTCCAAAGGAGCGATATTTCCAAAGTTTATTTTACTCCTGTTTGGCTTTTGAAGTGGAAATTCCGAACGCCTTAGTAGACTAGGCTAGTACTTGAGATGAGCCATCCTGTGTATGTACGTCGAAAGATTAACACTTAAAACAGATGCTATTCACGTTGAGGTTGTAAGCAGTTGAAATGCCAGGTTAATTTTTTTACTATGCAATAGCAATCACCATTGTGGATATGAAAAAGACAAAGCTCTCAACGTTGATCAATCCCTGAGGGATGCGCCATGCACTCCACTTCATTTAGAATGGTTTGAAGGTGACTGAATGCATATCTGGCCTTTACAATGACTCTCGGTAGCCTACCGATGTATCGAGCGAATGCTGCTATCCTACCAGACAAGTCTGGTAACAATTTGCCCACCCCGGAAAGATGGAAGGCTTGGTGGGCCCTGGGCGCAGGGATAGGTTCCATGTGTGTTGCAGAGCGCCTCCGACCGCTGCGTCACACGCGCTCTTGTGGATATGATGAATCACAAATCATCGTTAGATCAAAAGAGGTGGTAAGCAAATACCATAAAATTAAAAACCGATGCAGTTTCAATGGTTATGAATATCGAATAAATGTGCGCAGTGAGAGTGATCACAGGGATAAAAAACCATAGAAAAGAAAGAAAAGAAATAGTCCAGCAGTGATGTGACAAATCGAAAGCCACGATGAACAAGCCCCATTACAAGTAGCTGATTTGGGCTGACCAATTGGAGCAGCTCCCTGATGGATCAGTATTTTCACCAACAGCTAACGAACCATAGGTTCCATTGCTGGACTGAAATCGTTCTCAGGATTATCCGTTGCAAACTCGTTGAAATTTTGACTCTTCTTGACCTTGTTTTCGATGCTGAATGCTTCAACTGCTGCCTTTCTGTGGTTTCTAAATATAGATGTCTCCCTTACCACGGAACTATTCATCGAATAACGAAACATTCAACAGACCTGAATCGCTGGGGTCTCAGCTCCACAGTGAACAATAAAAGTGCGAATATAACAAAATTGATCGCAAATGAGAGCAAAGGAGAATCTAAATTACAAAATGCTAAATGAAGTGCTTGTCTTCATTCCGAAAAGTGAAGAATATGCAAGAGTCATTCTCGATTTGACAAACAATCGGAAAATGAAGGGATCTATGAGAAGTGGGAACCAGATGGAAATTGGTTCACTGCACTACTTTAAGGAGATATTCTATAAAGCTTTTGCGAAAGAAGAACCTCTTCAGCTGTACCTCTAGTAACTAACTCTTTTTCTGTTCTTAGCGATTCCTCTAAATACCGAAAAAACGCCAACGTTGGCAAGAACATGCAACACACATCGATCTGTAAAAGAATGTTCTCTTTTTTCCAACCTCGTATTTGAAGCGCCATACGCTAAGCTTTTACCAATGATGCGCCATGCATTAGACTTCATCAACCCTTATAGAGGTTATTTAATGCATATGCCATATACAAAGATTTGTGGTGGCCAAGTGGATGCTAAGTCAATGTCAATCCCAGAAGTTTGAAGGCTTGTTAAATCCGGAGCAGAGTAGAACCAGCACCATGCTCGTAATGAGTGGCATCACTGCCACAGGGCTACCTGGTCTCTCTATTTATGTTATCTTACATATTTTTACATTTCTGCTATCAGTAATGCTAATTTCCAGGTGACAAATGGTTATAGCTGGGTCCAATTCATAAATAGAGAGATGTTCTTTGCTCAAAGGCGAAATTTGAGCGAACACTATTAAAATAGTACAGAAATATAAACCTTGGTAGCTAACAACTAACCCATTTTGTTGGAAAGATGGCATTGAGAACAAAAGGGTAGCAAACAGTGAGTGTGGTTAAGAAAATCGTCGCGTTTTCAGTTTGTCGAAAGAACAGCGACATCGAGTAGACCGCTGGCAGTTGGCCAATCACATACGCGTACAGTATTATTCTGGAATACTCGGTTTTATCTTCCAGGAGCAAATTGAAACGGTAACTTGGTGGAAGTCATAGTCACGAACTTACAAGAAAATTAAAGAGATGTTTATGGGTGGCATAATGAAAAACACCGTAAACATCGACACCATCATGAAAATTATTGCAGCATCGAAGACGAGATTCGTCAACCAGTAAGTTGATAAGGATAGCCCTGAGAGGAACTGCTAAAAAAGATAGTGGAGTTCCTAAATATTGGGAAAAATGAAGAACAGAGAAAAGGAGTGAGGAATAGCATGAATTCAGTTCGTATTGCTCTATCGTCGCTATTTCTGGTGCTTAAAGAATTACCACGTGTTTTTCTTCGTAATCAAGCCAAACAAGTGGAAATCACACGAACACGAAGTTGTATTGCAGTGCATTTTTTGGAAATTTGTGGGAATCTTTTCTATTCATAACGCCTGTTTGGATCAAAAAGGAAACATTTCGAATAACTACTCGTCCTTTCTCGGGTAGCACTCGAGTTGGCTAGAGTGCAAGATAGAAAAAAAGAAAAAACTTTTGAAAATAAGGGAAATCTACCAACATGGACATTCCAATAAATACGACGAACCAGTTTCACACGTATTACCATTATGTGATACCCCTATTTTGGGAAAGGTAGCACAGCTTTGGATAGTGCTTGGTGCTTTTTTTCTTGTGGTAATGCATCAGTGAGTAATCACTCATTGACGACCTGTGAATGTTCTGATATTTAGAAGACGATGTGATCAAGAAGTCCAACTTCACCAAGAACCATTGACATGTCGTGCTCCAATAACTCCACTGCACGAAAAACGCACACAGATACCCAAACTTGAAACAAAGTGGTTCCAAAGGAGCAATATAGGAGCATCTTGTTCTTCTATTGTGATCTGTTAAACAGCTTTACTTAGGAAAGCAAATTCTGTGCACATGAAATAGTGAACATGTGTTATTCGCATTCGTTTCATTTAAAGCACAACACATCAAACCCGGAGGGTGGCGCTGAATGATACCAGTTTTTTCCGCAATGTCTATCAGTCAACCAAAGTAGTCATCTATGGCTTTTCGCACTTTGTCTAAATGTAAGTTACTTATAACACAGCGCCTTGGCAGCATAACATTCCTGCTGCACCCAAAAAGGACACTATACCAACCATCTGTTTGCCTGCGGGTACAGTACACAGTTTGCATTTCGCTGACCATTAAAAACAGAACTGCTTACATTTCAGTTGACGCTCATGGAGAGAATGCAAGAACTTCTTTTCAACCTCAGAGCACAGTCTTTGAATTTGTCATTGCAGCGTTTAAGAGGATGGTCGAAGAGTGTAAAAAATATCACGCTTGGTTTTCATGACTTCTAATAAGAGCGTCCAAGCACATTAAGGGTAAAACAAAACTTGGAAGCTTGAATTACAGAAATTCCTCGATTGAACCCGACCAAAGCTCAATCCAGGTGAAACTGGTTTTTTATTACTCATTTTCCTGTAATAGAATTTGAAGGATGCGGAAATACACATCCACTGGAGCTCGGAACGTCAGCATGAAAAATGAATGTGAGAAAGAGCCGCGTAACAGATTGTTCAAAAAGCGGTAAAGAAAAGGACCAACGACATGTAGTTTCACTCCAGAAAACGAGCACTTTCACGCGCTTCCTTTGCTCACACAGAATTTCCCGAACAATATCTGAGAGTGAAAGCTGAATTGTTCGAAGACTGCGGGTATGGTTTACCGAGACCTGTCGCAACGACAAGGAGGGTATTCCTGTGTTCATGACGTACTTTGTAATGAAGAAGCAACTGCGAAATAGAGCTTTATCGTGAGCCTCTTCTATGTATTTGCGGTCGGTCAGTTTGCTTAAATTTAGAAGCTCGTATTGCTTTTTCACATCGCGCTTGTCAGTAAGTTTCCAATAAAAATTGGAAGACAATCTATACGACGCACAATATATTGCTTTTCCATCAGTTCTCGTACACTCTCAGGAACCAAGTATAAAACGAAGAAAACGTATTAAGGAGTATGCATATATATATATATATACATCCAATATACCAACAATGTACGTTCTAAATGACCTGTTGTTTGAAGAAATGCCTTCGTTCCTGTATCGGCACAATAACGAAGGAGCACCCCAAGAGGACATGAGCGATTCCGATCGAATTCGCAACTATCATTGGAAGCAAAGGCCACTCAAAGGCTCCAACTTCAAACCGCACCTTCACTCGCTGCACTCCTGAATTGCGCAGCTATTAGAAATTTTCTTTTTTTTATCCGAATTCCGTGTTTTTGGGTACGACGGAAAGAAGAAGAAATGAGGTCAATCCGTGGTTCGTTGGAAAATGACCATAGAAACACTAGTGGAGAAATTAAATAGGAAGCGAAGGGGTTTATACACCTAAGTTTCTAAGTAGAGCAGTCTTTTTTCCGATATTATTTGAGAGCCTACTAAAGCACACGTCCCGAAGGGAAATTCATTTAACAACAAAGCTGTCAGATCTCGAATTTTTGGTGGAACCAAAAGGGATCACTGAAAAACCACGCACAAAAAATCAAGGCTGTGCTTTCTTGTGTAGATACTCATCTCATTAATTATTTAAACCGCCGTCATTAAAGAAAAGATAAAAATGTACAGCTTTTTTCCTAGTTCTCTCAGATGTTGTTGAAGAGATTAACCTCTACTGTTCATCGGATTATAACGATCAGGGTCACCCTGAGCTACATTGAGACGGTAAATGGTAAGCTGGGAAAGGACTCAACCTCATATTTATAAACCTAAGTATAAAAATGTTGTGGAGTCTTTGTAAGAAAATGCTAGTTCACATCACGATTTGACTACATAATTCAGTGCCAAATAGAAATTTGAATAAGGATTCTGTTTGAGCATTCCATAGAGTATGCTTGAAACTTTTCGTCATCTTTCCCAGCAATCAGTTTTTAAAAAACGAACTATGTGCTTGCCATTCGATTTAAACTGACTCCATTTCATGAGTGGTGACTTACCGTTGCCCAGATGAACCTTGGTGAGCAGCTGAACTATTGAAGGATATCCATAGATAGAAATGTTTGGAACGACCCAGATCTCGTTATTAGTGCTATTCACCTTAATGTTTAGTGCCGTAATGATAAAATGATAGCCCATTGGGTTTAAATTGTCGGAAGTCCATAGGTCCTTTTCGGATTTATGCAAGGTAAGCGCTTCAGCAGCACACCATCAACAATATCATTTCTCACACTGTCTCTCTTGCTCCGATCATTGTTTACTTAGCATCCGTTCTTATCTGCTCACATATCTATCACATTTTTAATCGCTCATAGATGTGAAGTACTTTAACAACGGAGAGAAAATATGTGAAAAAAATGTGTGCGCCTCTGTGTTTTTTTTACGTCCATGTTTGTGTGTGGCTCTTTCAAATACATTACATTACATTATATCACATTACATTACATACATTACATGCATACATACATACATACATACATACATACATACATACATACATACATACATACATACATACATACATACATACATACATACACACATACATACATACATGCATTCATTCATTCATTCATCAATCCTTGAGGAATTCGCCATGCATTCGACCTCATTAAGCATCGTGGAGATGATTGAATGTATATCTGGCCTTTACAATGACTAGTGGTGGCTGGCGTACGGGTGTATCAAGTCAGTGCTGTTAGCCTTTGAGAAAAACCTGGTACCAATCTATCGAGACTGAAGTGATGAGAGGCGCGGTAACGGTTCCTTATCGAACCAAGTACCACGTGTGTATTGCAGGCACCTCTAACCACTAGGATACAGCCGCCAGCACACATACGTATATACATATATCGCTTGTATCACCTGTATTGCAGTTAATCATCCGGTGACTCGAGATGCCACCAGTAAATCTTCCATTTTTTCAGCTGCGTGCAAGACTAACCTAGTGAGTTCTATTAGCTCCAGAAACTCTTTGAGCAACACATCTTTTCTGTAGTGTTCTGGTGGAGAACTCTGACCATTGGATCGGTAGCCTTCATGCAGTACTTTGGCGTTCCCAAGAATCCAGCCACTAACATCTCTTGTCCATCGGTTGTCACTCATACGCATTACGTTTTAGGCGCACCTCATCTTCGACTGTTTGGCGAACAGAGCGGCATCTTTGATTTTTGATCGCTGACGCAGGTTGGAGCTTCGGATTCTTTCTGTTACTTGCGTGGAACGGGATATTCCTAGCATCGTCCTTTCAACTACGCGTTCAATAACGCTGAGTGGTCTTTCATTCTGCTTACGCAGCCACCAGGTTTCTGATGCATGCGTTACGGCAGGAAGTACCGTTGAGTCGAAAAGGTGGGCACGAAGTCGGGTGTTCTTTGTCTTCTTCACTACATCCTCAATGCTCTTGTAAGCTTCCCAGGCCCCTCGTTTCCTTCTGCTCAACTCTAGAGCTAGGTCTTTTATAATGTTGATTTTCCAACCTAGGTAGACATGACTGGAGCATTCGGAAGTAACCATTCGTTGAGTGTGAAATGGGGCATATAAAACCATTCCGTTGATCATGAACATTGTTTTTGCGAGATTTAGTCGGAGACCAATCTTTCCACAGGCTTTATCAAAGTCGTCAAGCATACGTTTCGATTGGCAAATGTTTGGTGTTATAAGAACGATATCATCAGCAAAGCGAAGATGATGCAGTTGCTGTCCAACTATTTTCACTCCCATATCATCCCACTCCAATGCTCGCATGACTTTCTGGAGAGCGGCGGTAAATAATCTTTGCGGGATACTATAGCTTTGCTTTACCCCTGTTTTGACGTCTTTGTTAATATCGTTGAAGAATGGTGATATCTCAGCTTCGAAATCTTTACATAGCTCACGAAAAATGTGTACATATATATGTATGTGTATATATATACATGTATATTTAATAACTCAAAAAAGACTTTCTACAAAGCTCTGCGTAGATAGTTGATATATTTATTAATATGGTGTTATAAACTGATCTTCTTTAGCTGATGCGAGGTTGGTATACGTGTTCGTTGTCGTTCTTGTTGGTGCTGTTGGTCTGTGGCTGACGTTTCGGCGATTAAGACTTCCTCAGAGCCTGGACGTACTTCATATAAGAACACTTTAATTAATTATCCAAAATTTTTGGATAAATTTCAAAAGTCCAAAGATGAATCGGAAAGACCAATGCCTCATTATCACACGTGACCTGGCGCCCTATTTCAAAATGATATTTTGACACCTGGGTGTACCTCGCTCGCGATCCCAAGTGAACAAGCGTGTGCCAGTCCAATTCGTAACATCACAGTGAGTAGCCTTTCTGTTCAATATGGCGCCTATTTAAAAGTTTGGTCTTCATTAGTACTTTAACCTTTTTTCACCGATTATTAAAGTATTCTTATATGAAATACGTCCAGGCTCTGAGGAAGGCGAAATCGCCGAAACGTCAGCCATCGACCAACAACATCGACAACAACGACAACGGCAACGAACGAAGACCTATACCAACCTCGCATCAACTAGAGAAAGTTAGTCTATAAGATCATATAAATAAATATATATGTATATATTTATATGTGTGTATACATGCATATCCCGCGCCCTAGGACCGCCAAGCCCTCCATCCGTCTGCGGTCGGTAAATTGGTACCAGACTTGTCTCGGTGTCTGGCTGGATAGCAGCACTGGTTCGATAGATCGTTAGGCAAGCACGAGTCGTTGTAAAGGCCAGATACCCATTCAATCACTTCCAGTGATGATTAATGAAGTCGAATGCAAAGCTCATCCCTTAGAGATTAATCAACGCCGAAAGCTCTATCCTTACTTTATATATATATATATATATATATATACATATACATATATATATACGTGGCCTGTGTGTGTATGTGTGTGTGTGTGTGTGTGTGTGTGTGTGTGTGTGTGTGTGTGTATATCTATCGTGCTATATCTATCAGTTAAAACAAAACCATTCTGTCCTGGTGAATGCGGATCACAATCACATCAAGTGGTAAATTGGTAAATCCTCTCTCTATAGAAGCTAAATTTTATTGAGAAGATTTTAAACTTACTTCATAATCTGGTATTTCATAGGAGCAATTCCACTGTTTGCACAAATCATCCTGATAAACAATTCGGCTTTTTCTACTACGAACCATTAAACGACATTTCCAAAAACTTCTATTGGTTCATTAACATACCGTTCTTGGATTATGCAGTGCCGATGGAGTGGCCATATGAAGTGAGCATGTGTCATCGTCCTAAAAAGGTCATTTATGCTTTCCCTATTGTTCACTAGGTGTCTAGAACATTCTTGGAAGAAAATGTAGTAATGGAGGACACTTCAAAAAAATTGCTTGCGAAGTGAAGCTTTCAATAATAAGGTCCAAAAAAGGATAAGTTATTTACAACGTTTGACGAACTAAAATACAACCACAAAGAAGTTGAGATATGAGCAAAACTCAGTACTCCACCTGAACTTTGAACCCTTGATTGCCCTTTGTGGGGATTCGAGTCTTATCCATCCCACTAACTGGGGTCCTTCTCTCGCCTTTGTGCTCCCCAATGATTTCCGTTAATGGGTGATTGTTGATGGCATCAATACAATAAAAAGAAGGTTGAGAGAAAGGCCTTGATTAGAGCACATGAACTCCCAGTGAAGGTTATCGTAGGATCGAAGCCCACATGGCCTCCCGAGTTTTGTTCATTCTCAGCTCCCTTGTAGCTGTATTTCAAAACACACCGTACCATGAAAAAGGAATAGGCGGTAAATAAAGGTTAAAACTTGTTTGACGAATTGTTCAGTAAAGTCTCTTTTAAGATAAACAGTCAGAAGATCATACGAAGTTCCATAATCCAATTTCGTTGCCAATCGCTACTGCACCAATGACAAACGGCCAGTCATTCGGCCATTCCTTGCAAAAGTTTGTCGTTCGAAGCAACACCACCTTAATAAGACGAATCTCATTTACTGATAAATATCATACATTGGAAATCCGACAAATTGCGCACTTTGTCAAACTGTAGAGAAAGAAATTTAGAAGGACTGCCAAAATAAAACGGAGAACAGGTTCACCCGCTCTGTATCCTTTTTTTAAAATTTTTGTTTCGCATGACAACTCTTCACATCTTCTACTATAGCTCCCAGCATTTCTTTATGAGTTGTGTTTTCTCTTATTCATCACCTACAAAAGGCTACGAGCTTTTCGTGTGCAAATTCGGTCGCTATTTGAGGATTGGCGTCTTCTTGTGAATGTCTTTGAAGGGTGGTCTTGCCGACTCTCCTTGGAAGTCAGGGATGGTCGGGATAGAGTGCTCCCATTTGGATTGCAACTGTAAACTGCTCCTAGTTGAGTCTGGGACCAATTTCCCGAATTCGAAGAAATGAGAGGGCTGGTGAACTCGGTTGGAGTAGAGATACACCGTCCTCCTGATGAACGGCGTCGCTACCACTGCACTGCTCGCCCCTGTTTCGGTATAATCCCCATTCTTGTCCTTATTTTATCATTTTATTAATTACCATTTACTTATTTTTGCTTTCCATTTTTTATTTTTTGTTTTTTGTCTTCGTTCTTTATTTTTTCTGCTGTATTCTGTTATTATCCGATTCTCAACAGAAGTCAAAACTGCGTTTCGTACCTCGATCTCGGGGAATGCAGAAAGAGCTGTAACAATCGGAAGGGTCAGTTCTTTCATGTCGTGTGGATCGAACACCAGAAAACGACCGTGCTCGTAGATACCTAGTGAGACGTCTCGAGCTGGAAACAACTGGAATCCAGAAACCTTTGATGTGTCTAACTATAATGGATTTTTCCTTTTTCCTTCTCCACAGATTAGCGACAAGAAAGCAAATTCTGAGCTAACTCGAATAAACGAGGATGAAATTTTTTCGGAATTCTAACCTCTTGGCTTCCCCAGTCGTTGTGTTTTATGCAGTCCGATGGCAAATACCACTACGGCCATAGGGATGATAACCTACAAGAAAAACGAAAAAGAGTCAGGAATCTTCAATCGCCTTTATTTTCATCTTTGAGTGTTCAAAAGATTTGGGTATTAACCCTTTTGCAATGGCACTGAACACTTCAAAAATCGAAACTGTCGCTGATCAGTAGATCGATCTTACCTGTAGAAAAATGCATCGAGCATTTAGCAACAAATTCAACCTCTTCATTAATAAAAGGCAGAAAAGGCAATGAGGATCTGCTTTTTCTAGAAATTGTAGGGTTGTGCGATATTTTCTTCCTCATAGTGAAGGTGATATGCGGCTTCCAAACAAACCTCGATCGGCCACAGAATTTTTGATCGTCTTTTCGGAATCACCATCTTCCTTGGTTGTTTCAATTCTTGAAAGTTTTCAGGTCATACCAACGATTAAATTGGGAAAAAATTAACATTTGCGTATTTTTGCGTGTTTCTACTACATAACTGAATAACTAAGTGAGCTCTATATATTTTGAACTGTCTCGCTTACAGCAACTTATTACACAACTTTGATGCAGTTTCGACTTCTTCTTCTTCAGAGCCAATGATCAGGGTCAATGATCCACAGTCGTTCGTCCTCTCATTCTGCTCTTCTTGCTCTTATTGAGTCGAAACTTCTTGTGAGAAAGTAACTTCACCCTAGCAGTATTTCACCGAGGAAGACTCGATTTGGTACGACAACGGATATACACAAGGCGACGACGATCAAAAGTGGATCATCGACTCGAATCGTTGGCTCTGATGAAGAGGAAGACGCTGAAACGTCACCCGAGTATAAGTTATGTAACAACCTAGTGTAGCATGTAAAAACGAAAGAAATACGTAGACTATTCACTCCGAGGTTAAATGGAAGTCGGTTTTGTGAGACAAATGAGCTGTTCCCGAACCGCTCAAATCCATTGTAAATATTGCTAGCCTACTATTTTACTGACTGGCTGTTTTCGGTGCTCCTATGTCAATTATGGGAAAAAATCCAAAATTGTTACCAGAAGTGGCCACCAAGTTTTCTGGAAATTAATGGGATTTAATGAGATTTCTAGTTCGAGGTAACTTTGTCTGGGCAATGAGTTTGAGGAAGCATAATATTCTCTTTCATGTTAGAGTTTCAACCGGAAACAAGTTTCTCAAAAAAGCCGTCAAATTCGGCTACGAGCGTAGCCAGTAATTAAGATTATAAAGTCCTTGTCTCGTCAACGAAGATGGTGTATTGTGATCACCCCATGAAGTAGAATACGTTGCATAAAGTGAATGGTACACTCTTTCCAACAGTTTGCCGCCTCATCGTAGCTGGGAAGTATTTCTGGCTGTCGGACCACTATCCACAGTGGTGTGATTTATGCTCCCGACAGGGTCACCAAACTGAGAACAAGTCCAGCGTTTCCATCAGGAAGCTTAGCTAAAAGGAAACCAATACCAGAACCCATCACCGTCCTGGTATCAAACTAGTTGCACGATGGCAAATCTCCCTCTGATCCAACAAGAGTGGCAACTATCTATGGTAATGACGACCTGGAACAAACTTTGGCCAGGCTGACCTCGGGATTTCAGGAAACCGCATTGGCTAAACCAGCAAAACCGAAAAATGGAGATTATGCTGGGGATCTCACAATCAGTGAGGACGGGCCATCCCAGTATCCAAGTATCCAGTAATGATACAATGAGATCTTCATTGCGAACAAAAGCATAATATTTTCCGCAGCCTCTTCTGTTCTGGGAAAACTATTACAACAGATGACAAAGCGCATCATGAGAGCCAGCTTTCACGACTGGTACTAACTGAAGAGGACAGATTTTGAGGAGACCAAAGAAACCTTTATCGGATTCGGAGATGCGAACTTTTGTGTAGGAGCATTCCTTGCTGTTTGCAGTACATTGGTAAACTTGTACTGACTTTAATGATTTTCACTTCGCTTGACAAATTTTAATCACAATAAATCTATATTATTTTGAACTTTTCGTTTAAAATCGGCGTTGTATTGATTGACAGCACTGTTCCTCACTTTAGAGTAGCTTTCTCATGAGAGAGTGGCACAACGCAATATAGCAGAGAGTAAAAGTTTTGAAACCATCTGGATGTAATACGGTAAATCATGCCTATATTCTCTCATTTCTTCTGTTCTATCATTTTCAGTGGTCTGATTAAAAACATTTCTCGCCATATTTTTTCTCTCAAACAAAGGCAACAAACTTGTGAATGACGTCAGCCAGTGTGCATCTTCTGATGTGAAAATCAGAGATTCCTAATAAGACTCGATTAACTTGAAATTCGCGATACAGGGCAATCTGTCTGAAAAATTTCAAACCGGTGAAACAAAGAACAGAACTGTTTGTGAAAGGATTACTCACACGTCAAGCTCTTCAGAACTGAAGCCGAATACAAATGAATTGTCGAATGTCTCTCTGAGCTCTGCGTCAGGAATCAAAGCGCGTACAAACTAAAAACCAACAACAGTTCAAGATTTTGTGGGATTTTGACCACATCTTGCGAACACTTCTCCAAAGGCTCGTTTACGACAGTAGCTAGGGGTTTCCCGCGATGTTCATGGCACTAGATTCAATGCTGCTTCCTGCTACCCTTTCTCTACAGCGATCGAAAATTGGTGTAAGAGTTGTCTAGAAGGATGATAACACGAATCACAATGCTCAACGAAATAGAGGGCATGGCCCATTTTTAAGAGATTGACCAGAGTCGAGCGGGTTATATTTTTACGATCCTTCCTTACCAGTGTTACACAGTCTTTATGGTAATCCGTAGTCATTTGATCGTCCAGTGAAATACTAAGTATGTAGTCGCAACCGAACCTGAGACGATAAGCGAGCTTTTTATCAATATAGATTTGCATCAGATATGCAGAAAACTAAATACTGACTTGTTCTTTAAAAACGAACGTGACCCAGAGGCGAGTATTCGACCACTCTGAAGAACCAAAATACGGTCGCCAACAAGATCTGTGGTTTCTGCAGACGACGTACTGATTAAGATGCACCTTGAAAGTTGGTAAAAGATTTCTCGTTTCTAGACTTTTTATGAGAGTAACAATAAATATCTGAAATTACCTGCTGTCTTTCTCGCTTTTTATTATCTCTTTGAAGCGACTCTTTATTTCAGGATCACTATGTTGTATTGGTTCATCTATCACAACTAAATGAGAGCCGCCAACGAGAGCAACTGCGATCCCAAGGAAACGCCTTTGAACCCCACTGAGTTCGCATGCACGCTGGAAAAGAGAATCTCGCGACTGTACGAACAGGAAAAGAAGTAATTGCTAGACTCAGCAAACGAGTTTTTTTCCCGATAAGTGAAGTATAAAGTGAAAAATACACTGCTTACAAGAAAATCTTGAATTCCTTGTACAGTCTAGCAAAGTTGTAAATAAAATGAACATTCAGTTCTGACGTCAGCATTAATGGAAACATAGACATAGACACGAACATAGAAACCGCAGAAGAGAAAATTCATTGATTTTCTATCCAGATCTTTTCATTAATGTTGGTGCACTGGGAGGAAAATACTCAGCTGCGGGGAAATTGTTGCAGCCCTACAAAGGGTATATTTAAAGTGGCATATCTCTGCTCAAAAAGAAACTCCAACTGTAGTGAGAACCACTAGATTCTAGAAAATCTTGTTTCCAGATTCTTTTTTATCTTATTGAATAAAATCTCGAGCTCTGAAGGGGACGGTTTCTTAGAAAGTAGTGGACCCCGGCTAGGCTTCCAAAGCATTTCTGGCAAAGGGAATGTGTTAATTCAAGTGCTAGGCCAGAGGTGAAAAATCCAGCGAATGTTGTCGATGAAGCAGAGCCTCATACATAGCATAGTTCTCGGCGTTGATCAATCTCTGAGAGGTGCGCCATGCATTCGACTTCACTAAGGATCGTAGGAGAAGATTGAATGCATATGTGGCCTCTACAATGACTCGCGGTGATCTACTAATGTGTCGAGCCAGTGTTACGATGCTGTCAGATAAGTCTGCTACTAATTTATCTGGATGGAAGGCTTGGTGAACCACGGAAGCGGGGATCGATGCCATGTGTGTGTTGCAAGGCGCCTCCGACCACTGCACCTCACGCGCCTTTACTTATCGCAATAAAATTTTTTAAACTAGTGCTTCCTAGGGCGCGTGTGGCTCAGTGGTTGGAGGCGCCACTGCGACACACGTCGGATCGATCCCCGCTCCCATAGGCCACCAACCCTTCCACCTCTACGGAGTCGGTAAATTGGTACCGGACTTGTCTGGGAGGATAGCAGTACTGGCTCAATACGTCGGAAGTCGAATGCATGGCACATACGTCAGGGATTGATCAACGCCGAGAGCTTTATCCCTCATCACTTATCAGTGCTGCACCATGCTTATGTTAAAAATTCCTTGTTATCACAATTCATTAATGTTTCAGGTCATTTGCAGTGCTATTAATCCAAGCGCGTATAGTAGCGCAGATTTTAAAACAAAAATGACCAGCGAAACATTTAGAAGAGAAATAGAAGCATAATTTGTGATTAATTTCCTCACGACGTTATATGAAACTATACATCGTTTTTTCTTAATTAATTGATGTGGTTCCACTAAGGAGATGTATAAGTGTAAGCCCGTCGTAAAACTAGGTGGAGCAGCGCAATGAAGCACTTTTCCTTCAGGTTTCTCCATCCTCTTCTCGATCACAGTTAACCGTCTTCTAAGGGTATGTTCGGTTATAAGCTGACAAGAATTAACCTTGTGCTATATGAATAATACGGCGGGCATTCGATTCCGCGAAATTCACTCTTCGCGTTTTTATTCAAGTTCCTATAGTGATCCTAAAAACTCCCAGACGAATAGCTTGAAAATTTTTCCGCCGAATTTTACTTACCACATTGAGAAGTCTGTAGAGGCCGACTGCACGCGCGACATTTATGGCTTCCCTGAGCCAATTTATTGGCCCATTCTTAACGCTATTGAAGAACCATAGGTGGTCGAGGACTGTTAAACAGTCGAAAAGAACGTTCTTCTGGGGACAATAACCAATTCCATTTTGATATCCATGGTTATTTCTCTTTGTCGCACTCATTACGCTCACAGAACCTGAAATTGCTCAGCAAAATAAACGGAAAACAACTTAAAAGAGTAACCATTGGAAAAGAGCTAGTTCATTATCTTCGTTTTTAAGAAAAATATTAGAAATTTTTTGCTAGAAGTGGTAGGGCATTAAGCCAATGGCGTATGAGAACTTTACCGTTGATTAATAAACTCATAAAGGCGTTATGAAACATAAAAGACATACCGCAGTTCATTTTAGCCTCTCCAGTAATAAGCTTAGCTAAGGTGGTCTTTCCTGAACCGCTATGTCCAAACAACACAGTTGTCTAAAAGACAACAGTCACAAAACGGTGATTCTCTTCCTCAAGAAGTAAAACAAGTGAGGTCAACAAGAACGCGAACATTTTAAAACAAAATGTATTTCTCTGATATACCAGTTAAGGATTCTGGGAATCTTCCTTTTTTCTTCCTATTTCTTCTTCTTTCCATTTTTCCACCTTTTCCTTCTTTGCATAGCCATCCATCCATAGCCTTTTCATTTCATTTTTACCACACCGATCTCAAGCTCAGTGCTGTTTTTCAACATTTATTTATATTCTTCTGCGACCAAACGGCGCAAGTTATGTGGATCTCAGCACTTTGGTTCGGTACGTTTTCTAGAATTTGTCATCCATCAAGACTTCAGAACTGAGAGGGTTGATTCAGCTGCTAATTGAGTACTCTATCCTTCTTCAACATAAATGCTATATAAGTTGATATTCTCGGATGGCTCTAGTTCCAAGGTCTTCATTGAAGACAATCGCTTGCCTTTGTCGAACGGAAAGAACTATCCCCAAAAAACCATGGTAGGGATTTGCCTATACCGGATGGAGAGGAGACCTAGTTGGCCTGAGCTATCTCTAAGCACTGCGCTTTCCAGGACTTCATATTAAGTTTGTGGATTCAGAAATGAAAAAAATGAGGAACTGTAGGGACCGAACAATAAAGGAGGATGTACGTACGATCTCTAGCAACTCACTACATTATTTATTTACTTATTTATTATTAGCGTAAAAATTGCAAGAGGGTTTATTATAAGCATCAAAAATATACGATTTTGCCTCTGCTGCGTGGGAGCATATTACCACAAGAACGATCATCGTTTCAATTGGCAATCGCGCAGTTAGGCAAAAGCATCGTCATTCGCCACTGCCCACATAGCATAAACTCTTTCTTAGTCGTCTAAGGTCCTATCTGAAACTTTCATGGCATGGCAACAGTTTTCAAAATGAGCAATTTTGGCCATCAAATAAGGGGTTCATTGACGGCATGTAAAAGGCATTCGTAAGAAAATTTGTATATTCTTAAAAAAAAAAACTAATCCTTGTGACACTTAGGAAACGAAATACATTTGTGAATGACCCATTTAAACGAATCATAGGTGCCTCAGCAAGGGTTCTATCTGAATTCTTTCCATTTGCAGTTTTGAAATAAGGTTGGTGTTTAAAGGATAAAGGATAAATCTCTCGGGGTTGATCAATCCCTGAGGAATGCGCCTTGCATTTTACTCCATTAAGCATCGTTTGAAGGTGGTTGAATGCATATCTGACCTTTACAATGACTCATGGTGGCCTACCGATTTATCAAGCCAGTGGTGCTACCCTCCCAGATAAGTCTGGTACCAATTTGCCGACCTTAGAGGGATGGAAAGCTTGGTGGGCCATGGGCGTGAGGATCGATTCCGCGCGTTTTGCAGGGCGCCTCCAACTACTGCGTCCCACGCGCCTTTTTTGCTGTTATGCTTTAAAAACAGGCAGCAATTTATTGACACGATCAACAGCAGTTTGCCGAATTGAAAAAAGTTTCTCTCCAAGAGTTTAACGCGACTATTTAAGGCTTAAATTCACTCCAAGCTAGGATTTTGAATAAAAACGCTAAACTGTTTCCTTCTTCAACCAAACCATCTTTTTTGTTGATGCTTCGATGGAGTCAAATCTACTTCGCAGTTTGACCCTCAAAAACATTCCAATAGGGAGAAGAGGCTGCAAATCATTGAGAGAACTGCAACGTATAAAAAGTTCTCGATAGTAAAGAACATCTGTACAAAACAAAAAATTCTTTTTTTTTTGTTTTGATCCGATGTGACAACATGCTCTAAAATTTCCTCAAGCCACCTTACCACTTCCCAATCAAAACACCTATGAAGGATAGAATTAGATGTATACCTGGCCAGAAAAGGCTCTGAACGAAACATTTGCAACAGCACATTGCTTTGCTGAATTCCAGCACTTTGATACTTTGCAGAACTGAATGGACGGTGAAATTTGCTCGGCAGCCAATTCCGCTTCTAATGCATCTGCATCAACTTCGTTCTTCGGGAGTTCCTGAAAAGAAATACTTACTATACCTGGATACCTGAACCGGCCATCTTCACTGGTTATCCAGACCCCTTCATAATTTCCATTTTTGGAGTTTTGCTGGTTTAGCCATTGTGGTTTCCTGGGATCCCGAGTTCAGCCCGGCCACCGGCCACAGTCTGCTCTAGGTCGCCACCACCACGCGTAGTCGCCGCCCTGTGGATTACAGGAAGACTTGCCAGCATGCGACTAGTTTGATAGAAGGACCGGTAGTGGATCCTAGTATTGGTTTACTCTTAGCTGGGCTTCCTGATGGGAACGCTGGAGTCCTTCTCAGCTTGGAAGACGCTGCCGTGGAAACGAATTCTCGCTGTATGTCTCAGCTCGACACCCAGTAACACCTTGCAGCCACGAAGAAGCGGTAAATCGTTGGAAGGAATACTTGCTATAGATTAGTCAAGCGTGAAGTATCATGCTAATATCCTAAATATATATATATATATATATATAACGTTTAAAAACAAAGTTCTTTAAAGATTAAAAGTTGAAGGATCGCAAGGTGCTCTGTCACATCGCCTGACTATTTTTTAGTGTTCCGATAAAGTTGTCTCGCCCATTTAAAGATATAGCTGCTGCATTTTATTCACTAAAACGAAAAGAACTACCGTATTACTTATACTGACATCTAGCGAAGAGTATGAAGAACACCAATCAGCCTCATAGAGAATCAAATAGACAATCATTAGTAAGCAGCTGACCACTAGATAAGAAATGATTTCAAATGGAGTGAGGCAGTCGTAATACAGAGGGGTGGTCAGCACCAAGTCGCTGGCTCCTTAAAAAAAACTGTTACGTACTTGTTTCAACGTCAAACTGCCCACTGAAGAATTCTATTCCAATAATATTACATGGCCTTACCTCTGATGTGATAAGTAACGGTGATGTCGTAGAACGTTTTATAGGCTGCCAGAGGATTTAAGTTCAAAACGTATATCAGCGACGATTTGGTGTCCGCATAAGGAGTAATAAGTGATAGAAAGAATAGGAGACACCATACCAAAAAGCATACTACAAAATGAAAAACTGACAGAAATATGCGAGAAATTGCGTTAGAGAGGTCGCATATCCCTGTTCTGGTCAACCTTTGTTAGGAAGCCACTCTGAAATGCTGTTACCCCATATAGAGAACATTCTTTACGAATATTGGAATGTTCTCTATGTAAATTAATTATAACCTTATGTCAAACATTTTCGAATACGGTTTCCGGTGACCTTTTCTCCATGACGATCTGATAACCTTATGTCAAACATTTTCGAATACGGTTTCCGGTGACCTTTTCTCCATGACGATCTGATAACCTTATGTCAAACATTTTCGAATACGGCTTCCGGTGACCTTTTCTCCATGACGATCTGATAACCTTATGTCAAACATTTTTGAATACGGTTTCCGGTGACCTTTTCTCCATGACGATCTGATAACCTTATGTCAAACATTTTCGAATACGGTTTCCGGTGACCTTTTCTCCATGACGATCTGATAACCTTATGTCAAACATTTTCGAATACGGCTTCCGGTGACCTTTTCTCCATGACGATCTGATAACCTTATGTCAAACATTTTCGAATACGGCTACCGGTGACCTTATGACTAACATTTCGTCGGCGGTTATCTCATGAAAAACATCTGCAGTTACAGTCCTATGCTTTGACTGTCGCCTTATCAGATTGCAACGCTTGTGAAATGTTTCCGGTAGCCGTCCTTCCGCATACTGTAGCCTGACTCCACCTACTGTAACCCCACTCCACCTACTGTAACGCGACTCCGCCTATTGTAGCCTGACTCCGCCCAACCCAAACGGTATATAAACGGCTCCACGGCTGACTAGCTCGGGTCACAGCAATGCTGCCCAAATCACCATATCCTTTCCTCACATCGATCTCATGTGGTCGAAGTTTTATGACAACCTCTTCACTCTTGAGCAACCTGAACACAAGAAATCAGGCTGCGCCTATTCATTACTTGTATCATTGTTGTATTAATTGTACAGTCGTATTGTTATGCCATAATTGTTGTATAATTATGATAAACGGTTTAATTACCCAAGTTTGAGGTTTCCGGCATTGTGACTACCACTTACAAGAAGTCTCGCGTGGCATACACAAAGGCAAGCAGCAAATTCCGACCTAATCATCTTAACTACTTGGTATTCCTATATAATCGAGCCGTCCCACCATACCCCAGAAGACAGAACTTCGCAAGGTAACCAATGGGAAGAATAAGCCTAAGGAGACTATTAAGCCACGATTATAGCACACCTATAGTATGTATTCGAGGTTAAAGAATTCTTTGGAAGGCTACCCATGTACAAGCTGTAAACTCACACACGGCCGTCGTAGTCATAGAGTTCGAAAACGTCGAGCATACGAAAGAGATTAGAGCCGATGATAATGCCAGAAGACAGCTAGCTATGAACATAAGAAGGAGATAAGAGGTCTAAAGATTTAGTTCGAAGCAAGGATTTTCCAGCTCCATTGACTTAAAAAACAGAAAGGTAATTCACATTAATAAAATAGAGAATATTCGGAACGAAAAGAATGGCTAGTAGGAACTGGTTACAAATGAAAGCGGTTATGCCGTGTGAGACGTAGAAGTGGATTCCACCGGCACCCATGATTTCCATCAACTCCTAGAAATTCTTCTTGTTAAGTTCATGCTTTTTTTGACAGTAAAAAGTTTAGAGTGATAAAATAAAGTGCACCTTCATTCCGGATTTCCTCTCGGACCAAATATTCATGCAGTTCAGCAAAGTGGCAGGAAACAGCACCAGAAGAACAACTGAATGTGTTAGTTAGCGCTTCGATGATGGCTTCAGACTTTGCTTGAAAGTTTAGTGAATAAAAGCTTTCACTATAAAATTAGTAGCGGAAAAGTTTAGGGTGCCTAATAGAACACGATTGATATAAATAGGTCAGGTAACTCTTCACGTGCATCTGCTCTAACTCCCGTTACTCGTCCACTTGCCCAGAGTGAGATGTAAAACCAAAGGATTGCGGAAAAGGAGCTATAACACCTTTGACTCGAAAACTGTGCGCTCGTCAATTCCATTCTAGTCCTCCTGCGACGCCAATATATATTTTACTAAGCGAGGGCAAAGTACACTCCAGCAACACAACTTTTGAGCAAGTCCATTGAGCTTCTCACGTTAAAACTTATGCCGCTTCAAATTTTCCGTTTATTGAAATTTTCAACTTTTCAGAAAATTTTTCTTGGCCAATAACTCAGTACTTTCTTGATGAGCTGATACGAGGCTGTTATTTTAATTTGTTCATCATAACTGACGTTTCGGTGGTTTCACCTTCTTCAGAGCTTGAAAATAAACCACAAGGAGGAGTGCGTTGTGACGACGTTTCATCTTGGCCATACTTCACGCAGATTTTTTGACGTGGAATATGCGCAGCCCATTCCCATGTAAAACTTTGTGTGGCTGGCCACCACAGACTAACTAGGAAGACTACAAATAGCAAAACGGTGAGTGTTTAAACGTAGCTGTTTACTGTGCGTGTGATATTTATGTGTTTTGTTTCAATGCCGGGTTTATAAGTGCTTCAGTTAGCACAGCACATGTGAATTTCACCTTTCGAGGCTCTGAAGAAGAGGAGGCCGCCAAAACCTCATTTATCGTGAGTAATTTGTGCAATTTGTGCAATTAGGGTCATATTTCAAAATCACAATTCACAGGAATAGGTCATAGAGTAGAAGTTTGTAAGGCTAACAGTTATACACATAGGAATCTTTTGCTGCCAAGTGAGTCTAACTAGAAGGCTGTCGGATCTATCCATTACTTTATTACTCAAAAATATCCACTTTTGAAAACCAGCTTTCAATTAGGATACGACACTTAGCAGAAAGCGAGCGAACCTTCTCTTGTGAGTGAGTGACGGAGGTAGCTAGTAGAAGCTGTGGCGAGTACCACACAATTCCTTATTTCAAGGGGTCAAGTGGCAAAGTAGCAATCTAGAACTGTTACCGGTAGTGAAGATACTGGTCCATCTCCGTAGTTGTTGCCCTCCACTCGGCACTACTATCGCTTCGCGAAGATTCGTGCTAATGTCGTAGTCCTGCAGACATTTAAATCCATTCAGATTTTTATAAACTCCAAATAGCGAATTCTAAATAGCGTCAGAGAAATCCCTCACTGTATTATAGAACTTTTTCGTAAAGACGATTTGAAAATCCAACACATCCTTTACAAATGTGTCGAAATCGGATGGCAAATTCCCATACATTTCACTGAAAATGCAAAATGAAAACAACTCGGACTGTCGATATGGCTGCTACTTGATCAAGTATTCCACGAATTAGCCAAAATTTGGCGTCCTCCTTGTTAGTTGCTCTTGATGAGACATCGTTTTCACATTTGGGCTTCATGACGGTATGAAGCGAAGTATTTAGTGCAATCTCTACTCACACTGTAATCTTCCTTGTAAGAAACGGCACCGGCCACGAGGTCGAATTAACCGAAATAACGAAGTTCGCACTTCTTGATGAGTCGAATTCCTCGACGTTGAATGAGTAAACGACACCAGAGCTGAAATGATCGCCACAGAAAATTTCCTGAGCTGGTTGCTAGTGCTCACAAATTAAAATTATGGCCATCAAATTTTTAGGCGGTGAATAGTGGGATCGTTGTCTTTGCGGAAATGGAGTTGGAAATGCTTCCGAAAGACGAAGCACTCAAGAGAGCTTTCAGTCAGGATCCTCCTTAAATGAGTTCAAGACTTGTATATAAGACAGAATAGAATATAACCCCAACGATGCTGAGATATTTGCAAAATTCCGGACCGCAGGTGTCCGCGGTGGGGAACGAACGCGCTATAACCCTTCAGGAGTTTTAGAAATATCTCAGCATTGTTTTGGTTGTGTTTCGCATAATACCCCGTCGCAAAAAATTGTACTGGGCAGAAAATAAGAAGTAATTAGCATAAATCAGGATGTTTAGCACTAATTTATCTTGTCGTCCAATTCCATTTTTCTTATTTCATGTCCTTAAACAGGGAAGAATGTTTAATATTAACGTTTTTGTGCACATTTAGTGAATATTGCGTTAAACGTTTTATTCTTTATTAAAGAACGGGCACCTCGCAAAGGTTTACCGCCTCATCCTGGCTGGGAGCTGTTCCTGGGTGCCTCGCTGCGATGTATAGCTGGGTTTCATCTCCCCAGCAAGGTCTTCCAAGCTAAGAAGGAGTCCGGCATTTCCATCAGAAAGCCGCGCTAATAGTAAACCAATATCAGAACTCGCAAGATGGCAAATCTCCTTCTGATCTGCAAAGGCTGCCACTGCCTGTGGTGATAAGGACCTGAAGCACACTTTGGACAGGCTGTCCTTGGGAGTCCAAGGAACTATAATAGCTAAACCAGCAAATTTCCGGAGAATGGAAATTACGCTGGGGCCCGCACAACCAGTGGAGACGGGCCATCCAAGTATTCAAGTGGGTAAAGAACGGAAAAAAGAAATTGCTTGCTGTTCTCGCATAGAATAAAACCAACCACACCTGAGTCGATGTAGAAATTTACTTTTGCGAATCCATTCAACGGCTTTAGTGTTCTGAATTCTATTTGAAATATTAAGAACCTTGTTAATAACTCAGTAGTTACATAAGCATATATGTAACAAGAACAAACATTGTAGGTAGCATCATTCCCGCTGTCCAAGAACGAATTGTTGAGTGTCCAGTTTTGCTTCTTATGATGGTCTTCTTGGTAATATGCTCTGTAAATACACTTTTTATGACGCAAGTATCAAAGTATCATATCTATGTTTTTATTTCTCTTCAAAATTTATGTCGAGAAGAGTCTGCTCCAAGACTTCATGTTCGCTGAAGCACATTAGTCAAAAGTTTACTGAAATTACGATGCCTTCCTTCCTAAAATGCGATAGCTTCAAGTCGGAATTATCCGAATCCCAGTTACAGGTTGTTACAGTTGGCAAAGCGTTTGAACTGAGTTAAACTCTAAGTTAAATGTTGGGTGTGAAACCGTTTCCAAATCCAGCGTCTCCAACAATTGACAATCCGTGGAAGTTACGGCGCGCTTTAGCGTGGAGAAAAAACACTTATACTCGTCCTAGCTGCTCTAATGAAGGAGCAGTAGTTGATTAACAAAGCCGATTAGGATAGGCGTTTATGTCGAAGCGATCATCTTCTATCAGATGTTGCCAATACATATTAATTCCAAATGGTAGCGCAAAGTGCTCTGAGTTCGCAATCGTGTGACCTGATGTTCGTTTGCCCCTTCACCAGACATAATGCCATGCGTTTGCTGGCTGGTATATCTCCTGCTATCAGTTCCCTCATCAAACCCTTTAGGAATTCGTTTTCCCGCATAGGTGGCCACAAAGACAGGTAGGTCGATACTCAAACTCAACTCGTTTTCGTTAATTAGTACGAATTCCATGAGAACATCAATCTGTGGTGACTGAGCGTTTTTGAAAGAGCCCTGTGATATCTGAAGAATGCGCCTGCTCGTGTGCAGCTGTTCATGAATGTTTGCCGAGCTTTCTTTGATACTTATTATCGTTGACGGATCACTGGCAATACCGTATCCCAGGAGTTTCAAAGTCCGTGTAGATTAGTGGAGGAACATTCTGTTAATCAAGGTCAACTTGAGCCAACCGCTTTTTCAATTATTAGTATTACTATTAGTGGACCTTATCTTTTATTACATCCACTTAGAGAAGAACTGGAACCATCAACAAACAAGGCGCACTGTACCTGATAGAAGCACACCTAATAGACTCTTGATGCAGAGAGAAACAGTCCCTCTTTCTAAAAAGCTAAACTAATTTTTCGTCATAAAGATGGTGTAACTAATCATCCACCAACGAAAAATTATATCCTCGTCGTAGGTCGCTTTGATTCAGGAGTGGAACTCTGAGTTTCCGGAATGAGACACCGCCTTTCGCTGTGGGTTTACCGACTTCCTGAAGGCAAAGTGAATAGCTCAATAACATCGATCAGCAGAAATACTTGTATTTTGTCACTGTTGTTGTGTATCTGCCAAAAACACTTTTTATGCCATTGCTCCTCTAGAATTGCTTCAGTTTCGTCTTTATCTCTTGTTACTTCACTTCTCATAATCGTGTCGCAAGAACCTGCTTTTTAAAATTTTTTGACAATTTTTCGGTTAATCCCAGTTGTAACAAACTTACACTTAATGATAGGAACAACTCACAAAAAGATTAGATTGGCTGTAAAGTGTGAAGCATTCGATCAAAGGGAAGTCAAATTCCATTCCTACACGGGTTATGCATACTTGAAACGATAACATGAACATGTAAACAGCTCAAATTGGAACGAACCAGGCCTTTATAGAACATCACGAGGATCAGCAAGCCGGTGAAAGTGGGAAATAAAAGAGAAGGCAACGTCCACAAGCCGTTCCTCCACAAAACGATGAAGTTCTTACTGAAATTGCGCTGCGATATGCAAGGATAGCGTCGTTCAATGACGTCAAAGAAGCCTTTTCTAAGAAAAACATAGCTTTTGCACTTTTTTTTTCTCTGTCGTTCTTTTTAAACTCTTAATACAGAACATTTTAGACCTCTAAAAAGAAAGAATGCTTCACTGGAACACTATCGATCGTGGTGCTCGGATGCTACAATAAGCCACATTACAACATTCACTAGCTTATCTGTAGTACAATTTTGTCTGCACATATATACTTGTGAAAAGACTTTAGCCTCGCCTGTACTTGTATCGATCGATACCAAACACTAATTATAAAGGAACTGATGAAACATCTGTAGCGAAGCAATTCCCTATCCGATTACTCACACGCCACGATTAGATAGTGTGACTAGTGAACGATGAACTGCTAGGACACTTCTATGAAAGACGGCTTACCGAAAACGTGCGCCACCTTCATGATGAGCATGTTTTAAGCTTTGTATATTAAAATCAGATCATATTTTAGAATCATTTCGTTATTTCCACCAGAAGACGAAAAGTGAGAATATGTAGAGGATATTGCAAAGTATTTTTAAAAATTTTTATATTATCTGCTCTAGGAACATTTGTTGTCAAAGATCGACTCCGTGAAAACACTCAAAAGTGCAATTTGTGATCTGGAGCACGAGGTTAGTCACAGTTCCAAGACCCCAAACCATCGCCTTCTTGTCTGCAGACCAAGAATCTCAGAAAATTAGCAAGCTGTCTGACAACACTTCTTCAAAGGAAGAGAATGAGGGACGTACCACTGGAAAAGAGTGCAGGAAAAATTCCGACCAGAAGCATTGAGGGGAGAGAATTTCGAAACTATCATTCAGATTGCTTGTTAAGCGTCCTCTACAAGCTGTGCACAGATACTATCGCAACCTGTTAATCGAAAGCTCTAGACAAGGACCAAGTACTCTAGGAAGCAGTGCGCTGACTGAAGACGTACTGTACGGACCAATTGGAATTTTTTGAGTAATAGGACCTGCTCGTTGCTATATCTTGGTCGACTGCGTGAAAATTCCGAAAACGTCGAAACGAATGGCATTGGATCATCGGCCACCGGCTGTAGAATACACCTGTCCAACACGAAAGCGTCCGTTGATTACTCTAGCAAGTGTATCACAGGTATGCCTCTACTGAACCCTTACCATGTCCATCGAATCAGAAGTTTAGTCTGATGATATTAACCCGCTAGAGCTGTTTATCACTACAGCAGATAATGAGAGCGTTGATGGCGAAATCCTATCCAGTCTTCACTTTACCGGCAACATCGTAATACTTTTGAAAAGTTGTCGTGAAATTAGGATGTTCCTAACTTGCTCAATGGAACGGGAAAATTGAACCAAAATTAAACTGCAATGGAACTCATTGCATGAAAACACCATAGTGAGCGCTGAAAAGAGCCAAAAGAATGCTCATTTTAACAAAAAGACGACATCTTACATGAACGAAGCCTATATCATGAACATTGAAAACGTTGAAACCGATGCGGTAAATGAACTGTGTAGAGGATGGTAGGGCCACGTCCGAAACTTTCGGATCACCGATCTATTAGTAACGCAAAACACCGCTGTCATCTCCCCGTTGCAACGATGTTCGGATCTCCGAAAATTGGCTTATGTTTGAGATCGAAGAGAATATACTTTAAAAGGTATGCAATAGTCTTTTAATGGGATATGTCGACCATACTTGGAAGGTAGACGGACTTTTTTCTAGCCCACATCAATCAGCTGTGTTCGCAGCTGAATATGAATGATGGAATTCCACTCATGTAGGGCACCACACTGAAAGCAGATCATTACCATGATCACCGATCGTGAGAAAAGTACGAATATGCTAACTCTTTAATTTAGGAAACTGATAGCGAGCTGTTAAAATATCTAGCAAGTTTTCATTTATGCTTCATTTTAATATATAATACAGTCATTGTGTTGACCGTTTACTTGCTTCCAACCCTCAGCAATTAAGCGGGTGCTTACCAGCGTTTCGAAAGAAGTGTTTCAGGACTCAAACATTTTCGAAATCGAAGCCTGTAAACTCCACGCCATATGCCAACCAATTCATTGGTGAGTGGCTTCGCCTAGTGACAAGCTTTCAAAGCCATGTGGTGATGAGCTTGTACTTGGGACGGACAAACTCGTCTAGGCCCTTTCTTCTTTACAGCGGCAGCTACTCTGTCCGTGAATTTGACTAGCATACACATCCACTTTGTCCTGCTAGTCGTTCAACGTGCATCGTCGAAACTTCCATGGTATTTTCTACTAATATGCTAGTTTCCCGATGAACGACGTGTGAGGTGATGTCAACCAAACACTCCCAGTAAATGGCTACACAAATTCAATGCCTCTCTAATCAGTCTTTTCGTTGATACCATTTCAAATCGGTCTACATCCTTCTCAAAAACATTAATACTCTACAATGCATCAGGGTAGAGCATATCTAAGACTCTTTCAACGTAGAAAAAATTTCTGAAGTGCTGGAACTTTCAGAAGCCAGCAAGAAAGAAGTCATGCTTGTTTATTGATGATGAATGACATTTTAGAAATGTACTGCAACCGCTTTTAACCCTTTTTCCATACTAACACCACAACATGTGTTGCCAATAAAGTAGAGTTTTTTTGATTGAGAAAAAACAGTTCAGAATGTCTTCAGGTCAGAGGTTATTTCGAATGCCAAACAGCAATTCCTAGGAGAAAGTTTCTATTAAAGAACCAGTTCCTAAGGTAGAGTTTCTATTGAAGGACTCCACTGAGCAATAAATTCATGTTTTCTTTTTCACCGCGTATCTGCTCAGGAAAACAACCAATTTCGGGCTGTTATTGCTAACCAATAAAATATCTGCGGTACTTGAAATCTGTTTCACAAAACAAATGATAAAAGGATAAAGCTCTCGGCTTTGATCAATCCCTGAGGGATGCACCATGCATTCGACTTCATTAAGTATCGTTGGAGGTGACTGAATACATATCTGACCTTTACAATGACTCGCGGTGGTCTACCGATGTATCGAATCAGTGCTGGTATTCTCCCAGGCAAATCTGCTACCATTTTGGCGACCCCGGAAGGATGGAAGGCTTGGTAGGCCATGGGCGAAATGTTCTATTACTCGTGTATGCTGCTGGACGCTTCCGACCACTGCACCACACGCACCCCCATCAAATTTACAACGTAAATTCTCATTAATTTCATAAAATTTCGAGAATATATAAAAAACAAACATGAATAGTATTCCTGTTCGGCTCTTATGGAAGACCATGACCTCTTAACTGAGAAAATGAAAAAATGAAACCTATCCACCGAACAGCCTATGTGATATGATAAGCTAGCGAGCGTAGAACAACACTTGTATCAAAAGTAGATTAGCTCACTTGTTAGTCATCCGGTAGCTATAGTCGTCCGAATGTTTTAGGATTTCTTCAGCTGAAAGTCATTCTAAACCTTCATCCTAAAATTTTGTTCCCAATTTTTTTAGTATTTGAACTCCAAAAGGGCTTTGAAATAGATAGGTATTATATCACCCGGCCAGTTTTCTGTCTACCAGTGCCATCAGCAATCACCCGTCAAAGGAAACTAGCTGGGAGACAGGCGAGACGAAGAACGCGCATGGTGTGGTGGTGAACTCGTTTGCCCCCAGAAAAGGTAATAGCTCGTTCCGCACCGCAGGCACCTGCGATCTGGAGTTTTTCAAATATCTCAACATTATTATTGTTGTATTTAACATAATACCCTGCCGTGATAACTTCTAGTTGGCAGCAAACAAAAAGTTAACGTTGCAAAGAAAAAATCACACTTACATACATAATTCATATCGATTATACCATGTTCTAAACTCTCGGCCTCTGGATATCGAGAAATGAACAACAGCTGCCGAAAAGTCAATTTCGAGCCCGAAATGTACCTTTTCCGTGGGTATGAGCAACTCGACGTCATAGATTTCTATTGTGGTTGGAGGCTTTCTGAAGAGCCAAAGAACCTGATAAAACAAAGACATTCCCTACAAAATTAAACGTGGAAGACGTTGTTGTTAGCGCCACTCCTAACTCGTCTCCGGATAGTGCATAAAACTTCTTTGTGTCCACAAATTACGCGGGTAAATCCAACGAATTGCAAGTAGAAATCAATAGAAGTTTTGAAGATTTCATAGATTTAGATCCTTCTTCTTTGCAACTAGTCATGTTTAGTGATGCTGTGAAAGAAAACTCGGTGACGAATACAACAGATGTGCGCATCAGTTCTACGGTCGCACTTAGCATTTCAAGAGAACATGAAGCCCAAGATAACCAATTACAACATTTGGATTGCCATCTTCAACTAGTCTACTCTAACCATCACGTGGTGAGCCATCTAAAACGCCAAGGAAAGAAAAACTTTCGGGCCTTCTCCCAAGTAAAGCAAAATAGTGAACCCCACGGAGTCTCAAAGCAATCGATGTGCGCCGTAAGTGATTTCTTGAGAACCCTCATTAGAAAACACGGAGCATTCCATGCCCACAAATTAAACTGAAATCCATTGAATAACACAGGCACCCTTCGAAATGAAGAATGGAGAAATTAATGGAGTGTCGCTGAACGGATTAAACGCGTCTCGTTGTTTGCACTGAAAATAACCAACAAAGGAGGAATTCTCAAATTGCTAGACGAAAGTCCTTTTCATATCTGCTCTTGTTCTTTACTTGTCCGTTTTTGCTTCTTCTGACCAGTCTTCACGACCAATTATAAATTCTTGCGTTTCCAAAAACCAACCTTAATTAGGCATTGATGTTAATGATCAATAAAATGTTGTAAATAAAAAAATAAAAATAAGCAAACACAAACTGAAGTTATAAAACTTTACTTTTGGCCAACGATTCCCCGCTTCCGCCTCTTACATAACAGCAATTATTTGCGACAATTTCACTAACAGTTATTAGTTGTCATATTACCATCAGTATTACACTATTACAGTGCGCGTGTGGCGCACTGGTTGGAGGTGCCATTGCGACAGAATTGATCCGCGCGCCCATGGCCCACCAAGCCTTCCATCCTTCCGGGGTCGGCAAATTGCTATGAGACTCGTCTGGGGGGATAGAAGCATGGCTCGATACATCGGTAGGCCACCGATAGTCATTGTAAAGGCCAGATATGCAGTCAATCACCTCCAAACGATGCTTAGTGAAGTCGAATGTATGGCGTATCCCTCAGGGATTGATCAACGCCGAGAACTTTATCCTTTTTTTACTGCTATCAGTTCTTGTTTTTTGCTGCAGTTTCTGTTATCACTATTATTATTTCTGTTTGTTAATAGCTGCTATATAGTGTCTGCAATTTTCGAAACATTGAATGCCGGCTAATATCATTCCGACTGCTGCGCTCTGGACAGTGCTATTCGCGTGATACTCCACTATACTCGATTCGACTCAAAGCGATTACAAAGACCCTCATAGCAAAGGTGAATCGTTGTGAACATTCGATCTGAGTTATTGCGGTTCTCAAGAAGGCAACATGCTATGTTTGGTCACAACAGAAATTCTGTAACAAGTCTCACTCGTAACAGCACAGCTCTGAGGAAGGCCAAATCGCCGAAATGTCAGCCATCAACAAGCAACACTAACAACGACGATTACAACAACAACAGCAACAACGACAACGAAAACTTATACCAACTTCGCACCACCTCAACAAGATCAGTTCATAAGATCATATAAAATAAACACACATTAACTCACCAACACAACAGCATAGTCTTGTATAGCCCTCACTTTCTGCGCTGTTATGGCACGAGATGAGGAATGCATGGCAATGGAAGTCCGATCCGGAAACAAAATGCAGGCCAATACCACATGCTTCGAAAAGAAGAAAATGGCTGTGGTTAGCAGCAGAAATATCTCTATTTCTAAAACTTCCTAACTATCAAAAATAGTCACAGAATATAGTAGAGTACAATAGTACGCAGCAACTCTTCGTACTCGCGTTTTCTTTCGGTTTCGAACACCAGGCAAGTGAAAAACTACTGAAATCAGCAGTGAAACTTCACTTTATCCATGAACGATGTTCCGATCCGTTATTTCCATTGACTTATAATTCTATAACCGCTTCTGTTTTAATATGGGAATCGTAGAACCCGACGAAAGAAACACCTTTGCCACGCTCCAGCAATTGTATTATAAATCTTATAAATCATTTCTAAGCAATAAGTCGACTGATTTTATCACCTTTCATATTAAGGTCTTCCATCTTATCAGTATCTTCAAACGTGGGGAACTTTGGGCAGTAGTAAATAAGATCTCAACGAAAACGTCTCCGATAAGTAAAGTTCGTTATTTGAAAATAAGGAAATTTTTTTTACACAAAACAGCATGAATCTGATCTCACCCGTCGGCTGTTCAGATGGTGATCATCGACGACGACCGCCTTAACCACTTCTTACGGGTTATAGCAGTACTTGGACAACTGCCTCGTCAAGAAGGACTCTCACCGCCGTTCATGTCTCTTTATGCTCTTCCTGCCACCACACTCATCTGCTTAGCGACTGAATCCACTATTTTCGTCTCTTGTCGCTACCACTGTCGAAGCAACTACGGTAGTCGATTTTCAGTGCACTCCCGACCACGCCTAGTTCTCGTTGGCAACCGATGGGACCACGTGTAATTTTTCGATGCCTGCAATGTGACGTGACCTCCATAGAGCCTTTCCTCCTCTAGAGATGGCCACATCCCTTTTGCAGTTTTTCGTTCCACATTTCGTTTCCCTGAGTCTCCTGTCTCATTTCTACTTTATGGCAAATTGTCTGGTCTTATCTAGTGGAAAGACACACATCTCATACCAAACGGTACTGTCGGCCTTCAGTAGTCGGTTATGCAGCATGTACTAAATACATTTGGGTATTTTTAAAAATCTAGCCTTACACCTACTATAAAGGATATAGCAAAAACAGAATTTTACTTCTGTCGTGCCCTCAGCACCTTTTTGCAGCTCATCCACATTAGCGCTGAAAGGAACAAAAAGTTCCTTATTCGCACGTAGGCATAACGTCATCAATATGTTGTCAACCCTGGCACCTAAAAGCATTGCAGACGTTCATTTTTTATCAGTGTGACCAATCAAATTTTTTTCTACATTCATATTTATCCATAATTCGATTTTCTAATGTTTGCACAAACCAGTAAACCTCCGGCGCTTCCACCAAATCCTTCGAATTTAGCAGTTCTTTTATTAGCGGTTACAGACGTGCTATAAAAAGAGGCTAATGGATAATCTTTGGAATCCATTCAAATCAGAAGTTTAGTCAACAAATATTAAATTGGAAAGTAAGTATCAAATAAATAAATAATATCAATATTTTTGATTACTCAAGCCGAGGTTAAGTAAGAGTTGGTTCAGTACAGAAGTTTAATGTCAACTGTAAAAATACCGCACTTCTTTTCGACAGACAGGTTCGCGACAGAAAACTCGGTGATTACTCGAGGTGCTGTATTACCGCATTGCAGTGTCGGCAGTGTTTATAGATGTGCTTCTTAATGCACAATTAAGGTGTCCGATTGTTCTTCTTCCAACGCTGTCCTTCATTCTGAAGAAGCAACCGTCTTCTTTCTGAAGAATCATTTTGAAGAAGCAGACAACGATACGCCTACCAATTTAGAGCCTCTTTTCTAATCTATCAGATGACTCACATTCTTAGAAAGATAAAATCGTGCATGGGACATTAAGAACGGTTTGTAGCATTTATTTATTCACCTTCACAAGCAAAACTCTTGAAAAAAAAAGTAGTTACCTTCCATAATTACTTACTAGAAAGTAAAGGAAACAGCTGACAATCTGTTTACTTTTATTTCTATTCTGTCAGGAAAATTCGAGGCATAGGAAGAACATCAGCAGTCTTCTCAAAAAAATTTTAGTGGCTCCTTCGAAGATTTTCAACTATCTATGTGACCCAAAAATTCGCATCTGATTTTTGAGCTGCCTAATAGTCGTTTTGATTGCGGAAAAGTCTCGTTCATACTAGCATTTTTGCAACCTTTGTATCATTTCATTGAGAAAATGACACAAGTTTGCTGCGAGAATTTCATCCAGGTACGGTTTTCCTACTTTCACATTTCTCAGAGCGGGTAACCAACTCGATTGTCCACAGTTATTCCTTCTTCCGATATGTGTCTTCGCGCCGCATCGAGTCGAATCCAGTGGAGCATTCTTCGAATGAAGTAACCTCACCCGGTGGTATCCTTTTAAATGAGAATATCTGGTGATCAGATTGTACATAAAAAAGTAATGTTTTGAAAACTGACTTCCACTTAATCAGGGTACTAATAATCATTGTGTTACTTCATAGAATTCGTTTGCTTGATTAGAGTTCTGTGACAAGCTCCTGCAAAAATGCATTGACGCATTGATCATTCACATGAAGGATAAATGAAAGTCGGTTTACAAAAGTTTTAAAACTTTTGCCTGTGCAGAGTGTGACCGGGCGCGGTTTCTACACCAAAATCGGTGATTAGAAAAGCTCGGACACGTTGCTGTTCTTGGTGTTCATTGTTGCCTTCCTAAGGTAACATAGTGGCTTTCGTAATTTCATTAAATTGATTCCAATGGAAGGCTTTCAAAAGCACCATAACCTTCTACCAGACGATTCCATCTGTATCCAGCAAAGAATCAGCCAGTAGGAGGTATCCACGCTGTCATGGTACCTAGTAGCATGGTGGCAATTATTCTTTTGATCCACAAAGGTGGTGACTGCCTGGGGTGGTGACAAGCTGAAGAAGAATTCTGCAGCGATGAACTCTGGGTTCCAGAGAACCATATTGGCTAAACCAACAAATTTCCAGTTCCAGTGCCTCGCACACTGGGCACTACTGACTGATATATCAGAATGCGAGACAATAAGTAAGAGGCGATCAAATCTCGAGGTGCAGAGGACGTCACTGAAAACGGACGAAACTAGCACACCCACAATACGCCATGGAGACTCTTTGCTCTGCAACTACAATACCAGAACACTCCCTTCAACGCCGATCTTCGCGCTCTTCTTGAGGATGCTGATCACATCAAATTTCAAATGAACGTTCTAGCAGAGACGAAAAGCAGGAAGACCGACACACGAAAGACGTCCGAGTCGTTTGATTTATTGTACGGCTAGTTATTTTGCATCTAGTCACCACACACGAGATCATTCCACACTTGGTAATTCTTCTTCTTCATCTCCGCGTCAAAGGAAGGTTAGCATCATCACTGCTATTCATCATCTTGTACAACTCATGAAAGCAAACTGCACACATTTTACAATCAAATGAAGAAAGTAATCTGCAACATGAAGCGCATGTATAAATTCGTTGTTGAACATATCAATTCCAAATTAGAATCAGCCAATGAAAGTGCATACAGTGTATGGAAATTCGAAAAAGGAGAAAGAAACGATGACGCAAACCGTATTGTAGGACTCCTGTCGGCAGCACGTCTGTTTCATGGGAGTTCATTTTTCGAAAAGAGAGAAAATTCCCTGTGAACAGTGGAGCTCAGCGACACAAATCATGCTGAGATCGATTACATTCCCTCGAATGGAAACTGGCGCCTCTTTAACACCTCAGTGATGCGTGGATCCTGTATTTGGTCACCACCTACCAGGTGCCAAGATTCGATCCAGCCTAAGCTGGAAAAAAAACTTCTGTCAGCACCCAAGAAGAAAAAGAAAAATCGTGAATGGAAGGAGCATTCTCAGTAAACTCTTTTCCACATACAGCTGAAAGATAAAGGAAGACGCAATCAAGGAATGTATAAAGTGCTTCTCGAAGAAATCAAAACCTGTGTTGCACTCAGTTCAGTTCCTCAAACAGGTCCAGACCGCATCTCCACTACCGCTACGGAGATGTTCGAAAAAAAGGAGGACACTAAAACGTAACTACTACAGCATACCTAACATAGCTGTAAAAGATCCTTGCACGAGGATCTACACAGGTCTCAAAAACGTTCCAGTCTGAAGCACCATCGAGTTCCTCATCGGGTTCCTTGCGACTATAAAATCCCGATATACGCCTCGATGAACGAAGATGGGACCATCACCACATCCAGCCATGATATGGAACTGGTAACGGATAGGTTCTTTGTCAATCTTTCTCCCCTCCTCCACAATCCCTGTATTAGATTCAAAAATCCCAACTGGTGAAAAACCTACCAGGATTCTGCCCTCTGAAGTTCTAGTTGCGGTAGAGAGCATGAAGAAAGGCACAGCTCCAGCATCCGATAATATCACGGCCGATTTCCTCAGACCAGGTAGCCACAAATTCCACATTCTTCTCGCAATCCACATAATTTGCTTAGAGGAGCACGCGTACAATCATTGCACCTAAGAAGGGTGTCGAATGGCCCTTCAAAACAAAGGTCCAACTTGCCTGCTGAGTGTACTGCACAGGGTGTCCAGGAAGATTATCCTTTTTTTGCTTGTCAAAAACCCTGGATGAGGCACAGTCAGTTGTTCAAACAGGATTTCGACAAAGATTGTGCATTACGGACCACATGCAAACCGTATCACGGGTCATAGAAGTCTGTTGGGAGTACCATTTGCTCTTTAGCCTAACCTTTATCGACTAGGACAAAGCATTTGACAGCGTCGAAACGAATGTAGGCTATCAGGGCTCCTAGGCAAAAAAGAGGGCTTACCTTGTATACGATAACCAGCTGACTATTATGGAAACTGCAGCAGAAGTATAGTTCTTTTTCATCAACTCTTTACCATACCCATAGAAAAAAGGATTTCGCGAGGCGACACAGCACTGCCAAAGCCATTTCCTGTTGCACTGCGGTGGATAATGAAGTGACTCTATTGGGGAGGGAAGGGCACAGGTTTTGGTGGAAAATTCCTAGAAAATCTTCATTTTGCGAACGACATCGTCACCTTTTTGAAAAGAACCAATGAAGCAGATACGATGCTCAGTGAACTCAACGAAGCTGGCAAATAGATTGGATTGTGCATGTACTGGACGAAGACCCAGTTCATGAAGCACCATAGTGCAAAGGTAAACAAATCGAACTGGATAGCTTTTCGATTAACGAAACCTCCTCTTACGTGTAGCATACATGTTTGATAAACATGAAAAACAACGAAATGAAGGAATTAGACAGAGGAAAGAGACCAACATGGCTGCTTTAGTTCCTTCCAAAGAACCCACCGACAAATTGAATGACCCGAAAATCGACGCTCAATTTTTCGATACAACGCTCCTCCCAGTGCTCTGCAATGCAGCAGAAACTTGGGCTAATATTTTCACCGCACCAAGAAATCTACGCACCACCCACAAAGCACATGAACGATGCCGTTTTAAATTTAACCAGTACTCACAACGTTTGGCCGGAATGCGCAGCCTTTATACTCGAAAACTTTCCCTTCTTCGGGATCCAAGAAAAAATACGTTGATAGCGAACGGCGGATGGGCTTTTCAGATAGTAAGAGGAGCAGATGACGGATGGACGAAAAGAACAGTGCAGTGGTCTCCAAGAAAATCCAAGCCTCCTCTTAGAATACCATCTAGTCGAAGGTCGGACGTGTTCGTAGCCAACGTCAACCACCTGCATTCGCAGATGGAATCGATATTGGGATATCAGGATGTGCCTTGCGGACGTCACCATGTTCGTAGTGGACCACAACGAAGGACGACGAAAGA